GGTCCTCCATACTGCAGAACTTGGTAATTCTATGTCTGAATCAGGTGTGTTGGAGCAGGGAAAATCATAAAACCTGCTGGGCTAGGGCCCCTCGAGGACCAGGATTGCCCACCCCTGTTTTAAAGACATTCTCTTAACTTTAAGCAAATTTAAAATGTTTTTGTTATTTAGTTTCTTTTAGCATATTGCTTATGTCTTGTTTGTTTTAGCTTTTATAGTTTTGCTAATTGCAACTTTTTTTTACTCATGGCATTGCTCATTTAAATATTTAACTATAGTTTGTTCATTTAGCTTCTATCAGCTCTTTTGTTGGATTTAGCTTTTAGCCACATTTTTGCTAATTTAGCTTTTAGCTATGGTTTTGCTCATTTTAGCTGTTTTCTAATTGTAGTAATTAGTTTTTGTAGTGCTCCCATGAGCTTTTAACTAAGACAATGTTTACTTCTTTGTAAAAGCTATAATTTTGCTCATTTAAGTTTTTTTTGTAAACCCTTTTGTTACATTTAACTTGAATTTAACATCTAGATACTTTTGCTATTACACTTTGAGCGGTGATTTTGCTAATTTTAGCTGTTTGCTAATTGTCGGTTTTAGTATTAATGCTTGTTTGAGCTGTTGGCTATAAGGTTCTTGCTGCTTTTAACAGCTCTTTTGCTAATTTATGGTACATTTTAGCTAAATCTATTTTCTAGCTACTGTATTGCTGATTTTAGCATCTCTTTTGCTAATTTTAGCTTTTGTTCAGTTTTAGAAAAAGCCATTTCCCTGGTTAGACCACATCAGAAATTAGTTTTACTTTATGATCGAAACTTTAAGCTACACATTTTTAAATTTTAGATTTGCACAAACTCAAACAAAATTCAACACACAGTTACAACAAACTTTAAAATGAGAACTTGTTTATTTGTCCAATAAAAATAATAAAAAAATATTATGAAACAATAAATAGTTTAAAAAAAATCTTAACATAGTTTTTTAAAGCATTCCTTGTTCAGGTGCAGTGCAATTCTACTTTATAATTTAGTAATTTAAACACTAGAAAACCAAAACAAACGTATGTGTCCATATCTTGCCAGCAAAGTTTTCATCATCTTCATCTTCTTCAGTCAGTGGGTGAAACTCTGACCATAAATAAAGTCACATTATCCAGGATATGAGGGTGTGTGTGCTCAGAACATGTAGCTGGACATCATGGCCAGGGTCCTCCACTCATCGTTGCTCATACAGGCTGAGGAAAGACAAGAAGACAAGTCAGATTTAATACAAATTTTAAAAGGCTCACATCTGTGTAAATGTCTGAATCTGTAGAAATTACTTTAACTATCAGGACAGCACTGAACCCAAAACTAACTTGGCTAAAGACAGAATAAATTACTTATTAGATCATATTATGTTACATTGGTTTATACTGTATCATATTATATCACATTATATTGCATTTTAACATGTATCAGTCTGTAATGTCCTGTTATATCTTATTGCATCAAATCGTGAATCAAACGATTTTAGCTAATAATTTAGGCAAAATAAATGGTAGAATGGTCTCAGGAACTTGTTAGAAATCAAAATAAGGAATTTGTAGGCTATAAGGCAGCACATCCAATGACAGCAGGAGTTATGAACTTTAACATATTTTGACACATCATGAACCCCATACAAACAGGGACTAATGATAAATATCTCTGTTCTGTTGTAAAATTCCTGTG